ATATGTGGGATTTGGGATATGTGGGATTTGGGACGTGTGGGATTTAGCATATGTGGGATTTGGGAGATTTGAGATCCCAATGCCATTGAGACCGAAACCTCGCCTCCTAAATATCCCTAGACAACAAAGCGTCTAAAACCACATTTCGTTATTTGCGACTCCCATAACTCTATAAATATAAAGCTACCATATCCGCTAATAAAATAAAATTCACAAAAGTATTTCACGTTCGAAGTAAAATATTTCTCGTGCCTTTGACTGTTACTTTTAAACGTTTATCGTCACTCGATAATCTGCTAGTAAAGTATTAACGAGCGGCCACATCGTGCGGCGCATAAAAAAAATAAAATTGTAGCCAATAATGAGAAACATGTCCCTAACCTTATCTTCGAGTAAGTAGGTTGATTAATGTTACTCATGAAATTAACTCATTAGCTTCTGGTCACGAAGTGTCACACGAATTTCCACGCACACTTATCAACACGCTTCGATGCCGGCTATCGATCCTGTAAAATTCACGAATATTAACGTTTCTCTTGAATTAACGAGCAGTTAACAAGCTTACGTAATCCTGGTAATTTTTGACGAAGCGATATGTAATTAATTCTTGAGAGTTAACAGTTATTATGTATATGTGCTTTTAGGTATGCGAGAAATTGTTCGGTTACACGAAAACAAAATGGCGACGCTGCTACGTGACGTTTGCGAAACGTTTTAATGATTTAGTATGGAATTATAATATATCTTGACATAAACAAGTTTTGCAAGTTTTACAAGTTTTTATAAATGAAGAACAAAAGTATTCGTATACTTGTAATAGAGAAATAAAAGCTACAATATTTTCTATATTATTATATATATTTAATCATATATGGCTGTATATTAAACATTACACTTACAGCAACAAATGAAATTCATCTAATTCATAAATTTAATTTCTAAATATGCACTATTTTCTAAATTTTCTTTCAAAATATTTAAAAATATTTGTCCCTTATTTTATCTATTATTATTTATTTATTTAATGAAGTCCTTCTGCACTTCTTAATTAAAATACGAATGCAGATAAATGTGCTTTAAAAATGAAATATCTCATTGAAACTTCTATTGTCAAAATGTTTTATCAAAAATATCACAATGTATTATCAAACTGTTTCTTGAAGTCCTAACCTCAAACAGAGATTGAACGTCCATCTCACTTCCCCGGAAATTATGCTCCATCGTTAAAATTCCACGGTGTAAGTATTAAATTTTATTCGCAATAATAAATTGCAAGATTCAAGTTAAAAATTCCGGCGATATCGTTGTAGCTCGTTTCGTGCGTCGAGAGCGCATCATAAATTACAATTATCTATTAAAATTGGTATCGCGATTCCCGTCCGTTACTCGCGTGCACGCGGATTGTATTTAAACAAATAACAACAGCAAAAATGAAGCAAGAAGCGGAGCCGAAAACCGGTACGCGCATAAATACAGATATTTCAACGGGATCGATGGAAAAATTACGCGCGGCTCGGAATCACCGTGTTTCGGGTCAGCAACACGGTGATTAATAAACGCGTTGAAAAGTTTTCATCCACGAAGAATATTTCTGTGCGGGAGAGAACGAAAATTCGATTTAATAACTGTGGATACGGGGTGCTTTTTTTTTGGAATATAACCACCGTGCGTTACGACGTAGTTTCGTAGCAGGTGCTCATGGGAAACGCCATTATTTGCGGCAGGGGAGGTTCAATTTTCGAGTATAAATGCTCTTCTTCACGCTAACTTGCGGGAGTTGCGTCGAACGAGGGTTGGACGGCGATGTCGTTATTTGGTAGATGCGGAGGTTACGAAGGGATTTAAGTCTGGGAGTTTTTGGGTTTTGGGGATTTGGAGTTTTAGACATTTGGAGATTTGGGGATTTGGGGATTTGGGGACTTGGGGACTTGGAGAGTTGGAGAGTTAGAAATTTGGGAATTTGGGGATTTGAGGACTTGGAAATGTGGAGAGTTGGAAAATTGGACATTGGAGAATTTGGGGAGTTTGGGGAATTTGGGGAATTTGGGGAATTTGGGGACTTGGGAACTTGGAGAGTTGCAAATTTGGAGATTTGGGGACTTGGGAACTTGGAGAGTTGAAGAGTTAGAAATTTGGGGATTTGGGGATTTGGGGACTTGAGAATTTGGAGAGTTGGAGAGTTAGAAATTTGGGGATTTGGGGATTTGAGGACTTGGAAATGTGGAGAGTTGGAAAATTGGACATTG